ACACTGCGACATACACACATCGCATTTAAAGCTGGTCACAGGAGGCTGCGTGATCCTTTTTTCCTTGTAATTCCTTTACTGTATCAGATGCTTAACACCATAAAGGAAAGAAAAAAATGTCACATGCACGCATACATACACACACGCAGGCACTCACACACACACACACACACACACACACAGTCATCTGGCCTTTGTCCACCAGTCAATGCAAAGAGCACTGCGGCGGAACCTATTACCCACACACCGCTGCATCTTGGAGAAAAAATGTGTTAAAACACTGGCGTCTAATCAATTGACCTCAATTATGAGCCTCTGCCGGCTCCCTCACATCCACTCAGGCAAATAAAGTTTGTGACGAAGACCACTGGGGAGCAAGTTCCACTTTTGTTACACGAGACACAGATACTTGTCTTCATTTCGTTTCTTCTCCAGTAACAGTAACTTCTATTTTTAGAAACAATGCAGTAATTATTGATATTCTAGTTAAACTGAAGTAACTCTACCTCAGCTGACCACATGATCTGTGTATGATCCAGAGCAGAGAAGTCACTGTACATGTTTCTACCTGTATTTTTAAAACATGTTTTTAATATGTAAATGTATAGTTAAAGACAAATCATAAGTTCTTGAAGCTTAATTTTAATTGGTGTTTAGCTCCAAAATTGAAATATCAAAGATGCTTCCTGATTGGTCAGCTTGTTTCATGAGGTCTGCTTTTATTTCTGACTATCCAAACAGCGTCATAGTGCATCTTTGATGGTGGAGCTTCATCCAATCTTTTCTCATTGTGCAAGTTTTCAGTGACACACAAAACTACACTCATTGCATTATGTGTTATATTCATGTACGGTTACGCCTCTTCTCTAACAAAGTAATCAGAGTATCACTGTTGCTTGGAAACAATGTGTCATTTCATTGTATCTGCCGTTTGAAACTTGTCATTTTAATGTTATTGTATAGATCTCCCCTGTTTTGGTAAATTACAGGTGATAACTAGTAAAGTCACAGAACAAAAGTATTAATTTACATGTTACCTGTAAGAAACCTCTAAATAATATCCAACAAAAATCTGTATTTTTATATATCTCACTACTTTACAGGAGGCACTGTCATGATATAATTAATATTCACTATTCACTTTACCTGTCACTTTTTTTTAATGCTGATCAGTGTATATAAGTACATAAAATTCCAATCAACGTGTCTATATTCTGTTATTATCACTCTAGTTTTCACTGTTAGTTTCCATTCCAGAGCAGTTTTCAACAACATCCCACAGCCCTGGTTTTACATTAAAATCATTCTACTGGCAAATCATGGGACAGCTCTTACGATGCAGCTCTCATAGAAAGCCTGATGTGTTTCTCACTGGTCGGGTTTGCTGTCAGCACAGCACACTGTTAAAAACAAAACGTGATAACTGATTCATTTAAATATTACAGCGATTGCAGGAGGTGCTGCAGGCCAAGGTTAGAAACTCTGGTTATGAAGTGTGAAAACCATCCATATCACCGTTACATGATAAGAAAAAAGCAATTTCTTGATAGATCTCCTTATTGAAAAGATGCCGTGTGAACAGATAAACTAGTTGTTCTTCTGTTGTAGTTTGAAAAAAGAGCTGCACAACAAACTATCTGGTGTTGTTTTAATTACACATTCATCTGAAATCTTTCAGATTACAATGTTAACTGATGGATTCGTTAAACTTGCTGTTTTCATATGGATCTTTTTTCAAAACTTAGCCCAGCGAAGCAGCTGCATCAGATCCTGTATTTGATGTTTATTTCTATTAAGTACATAAAGTTCTCTTTAACAGTCTTAACTTTTGTCCAAACTGAAGAAGTGTACACTTCTGCACTAGTTTTCTCTCCATGTTACAGCGAGGTTGCTTTTGTGACTTTGCTCCAGATAAGAACGCCACTTAATCAGCCTGCTGACTACACATTATAGAGTCACACACCACCCTGATGGCCGTAGTCTGACAGTAAACCTCATTATACGTGATCAACATGACTCCCAAAAAGGAAAATCAAAAAAAAAAAAAAGCCTTTCTCTTCACGCATCCCTTCCCTGTTCCTCTACTTGAATACCACTTCACTCTCTCCCTTTGTCTTTGTTTTGTCTCTCCGCCTCCCTCCAGCCCTCTGCTGTATCCCTT